GTTACAGATATTCCAGAGGATTTGATGCCCTCTCTGGCCTCTTGCCAACACCAGGGACACATGTGATGTACATTCATACATGCAAATACATATGCAATATATAGACAAAGCACTTTACACTTAATAAAAAATTTTTAAATCTGACATTTTGGATTCAGGCACAGATTATACTGCTTTAAATAGGGAGTTAGTGTGCCTTTTTCCTTTTTATATATTATTTTATATGTATTATATATAATATATATATGTGTATCTTGATTGTGTAAACGTGTGAATGATTGAACATGCCATTCTCCTGATATTTGACAATGAAGTTCTGTTTGCAAGATAGTGTAATCATTTAATGACTCATGAAGAGGCCACCTTTCTTTTGGGTCAAGTATATAATCTAGTATATTATTATTATTATTATTATTTTTTATTTTATTTTATTTTTTTTGGTTTTTCGAGACAGGGTTTCTCTATAGTTTTGGAGCCTGTCCTGGAACTAGCTCTTATAGACCAGGTTGACCTTGAACTCACAGAGATCTGTCTGCCTCTGCACCCGAGTGCTGGGATTAAAGGCACATGCCACCACCGCCTGGCTAAGTGTATTTATTATTAAAACACTTTTGAGCCATTTTTCTTAGCTGTTATCAATAGCTATAAGCACAAAACTTATCTAGAATTCTCCCTCCATGGCTTCTTTATCATACAGACTTTATTTCCCATTGTCCACAAATTACATTAGAGTGTTCTCAAGCTTCTGGCTCCTCTGGTGTCTCTTACCTTGCTCTGGTACATGGTTACAACAGAACTTCAAATACCCTTGTCTAGATGAACAGTCTAGTCCTGAGCAGCCTCAAAAACTCAAACATTGCACTCGGGAGGCAGAGGCAGGCGGATCTCTGTGAGTTCGAGACCAGCCTGGTCTACAGAGCTAGTTCCAGGACAGGCTCCAAAGCCACAGAGAAACCCTGTCTCGAAAAACCAAAAAAAACAAACAAACAAAAAAAAAAAAAACCTCAATCATTGAAGATGAGAAACAGAGGAGGCCCAGCATGCACTACCAGAGAGGACTTACCAGGCTGTCAGTCCGAAGGTCTACAGTGCTGACCCCAGTACCTTGTGTAGGTAATCCCACAGCTCCTGCAGCAGGTTGGAAGGTGGACACAGGAATCCTGATGTCCCAGAAGCTTGCACCAGCTAGCCAGACAATGGCAGCAGTGGGCAACAAAGAGACCCTGCCTCACACAAGATGGAAAGCAAAGACGGACACCTGAGATCATCCTCTGATTCCCCACTCGTCTCGTGTGTGTGTGTGTAGACGTCTGTACTCATGTGTATGTGTCACTCTACAAATGACATGGTAAGCTCACTTCTCCATCCCACCTAGCCACTGCTGAAAGGATCTTTCTCCCTTGGCTCTGCCTTCATCCTATGGCCCCCCCTTCCAATTGATTACATTTATTTGTTTGGTAGGGGGTACATGCATGCCATGGCACACATGGAGGTCTGGTGGGGGTACATGCATGCCATGGCACATATCTGGAGGTCTGGTGGGGGTACATGCATGCCATGGTGCACATCTGGAGGTCTGGTGGGGGGTACATGCATGCCATGGCACACATACAGAGGTCAGAAGGCAACTTCCAGTAGTTTTTCTCCTACCATGTGAATCCTCGAACTCACAGAGATCCACCTGTCTCTGCCTCCCGAGTACTGAGATTAAAGGTGTGCGCCACCACTGCCAGGTGTCCTCAGACCTCTTTTAACAGCTTTTCCCTATTGCTTCCCTTTCTGATTACTACCCAGGCATCAAACTGTAGCTCATGGGCAAGCAATGCGTAACCTAGGCTTCTTGGATTGAGCTCCCAGTGCAAACTCTCCTTTCTTAGTCTTTGCTCCTGTGGGAGGGAAACCACTGGAGCCAGGCTGAGATGTGGCAGTGAGGTCAGGGACCGGCATCAGACAGCCCATCATCAAGCCCCAGACAGAGATGGCACCGATGTGGCAGGTGAACCTCCCCTCCCCTTCCTATAGCCTTGGCAGACATTACTAATCAATTGCATCACTTTCACAATGAGTCAGTCCAGAGCTGCAGACAACCACAAAAGTTGACTTGCCATTCTTGACCCAGACACTATCCAAAAGTCAGAGTGACTCTGACTCAGAAGGCAAGCTAAAGGGTAGCGGTCAGAACACATGCAGGGGTTTCAAAATTGGTAAGGTAAAGGACAGGACAAGGCATGGCCAAGCTGGCAAGGGAAGCGGTGACTCACATTCATAGAGCCCTCGTTTACGGAGCTTTCTCTAAATACCCTGACTCTTGAGGTTAAACGACTCACTTGATATTACAGATGAGACAGAGAAAGGGGGTGCACCTGGTGTCACCCAGCCTTTCGACCCACATGGCACACGCTTACTCTCAGCCTCAGCACAGGTAGCTCAGGACTCGGTCAGCCTCTCTTCTAACGAGCCCCTCAGGACTGAGACTCACGAGAAGGATGGCAGGCAGAGCCTATGGCTTGCTGCTGGTCATCTGATCACTGCCTGGGACAGCAGCTCAGGACAGCGACAAAAGCTTTGCAGACAGGAGACACTCTGGAGTGCACAACTATTACGGCTTCAATGCAGTTTAAGCTACCAGCAAATGTCACTGAATACAGATTGAAAACAGGTGTCCATAGCAACCTCTGGGTTAAAAGCTAGCTATACCTCACACATTGGTACCCTCAATTGGTAGTTATTTTGCAAGGTTCTGAAAATTAGGAACTGGGACAGAGCCGGAGGGGGTAGCTCACTGGGGCATGTCTTTGGAGGTTTTACCTGATTGGAATGCTCTCTGAAGAACTTCCTGTGCCACATGGTTCTGCTACCATGATCTTCTACTCGGGCATACAGGACCCAGTGGCCGTGGGCTAAATAAAGCCTCTGAAAATGTGAACCAAAGAAGTAACCCCTCCTCCAAGTGATTTCTGAAGGTCATCTGGTCACAGTAGTGAGAAAAGCAACTAATACAGGATTCACATTGAGTCCGTCCATCACGGCCTGGTATTCGGCTCTCTCTCATGCTTTGAGCCCCTCACGAGCTCTCTTGCCTGATTGGCCTTCATTTCTATTGCTTGCCAGGAAAGAACCCAAGAATGTCACTGGTGCACTGGCTGTGGGAGAGTGTCGGTCAGAATCCTTTTGCCTTCCAGTTTCCTGGTCTTTCCTCTCCACCTTAAGGCCCAAGCATGCAAGAAGCCTCTGAACATGTAGAGGTAGGAGTTTCTCTTGCAAAGACCCCCATTGGTAGCCCTCATTTCCTGCTCTCTTTGCAGTATGCCAGTGCCTTTCCTACACAGGGGAGCTCCACAGCTAGGGCCAGGAAGATGGAGGCTTCCAGGAGTAGCAGCTGCCCACAAGAGGCTGGGCTGCCCCTGGTAGGCTGGGGAGTGTGTTCAGCCATCCTCTGCTCTTTATCAGGGTCTAGGGCCCGTTCTAAATCACAGTCTGGGTCAGAGAAGGCAGGTGTTCAGGTGGCCCAGTGAGTGGCGCTCATTTCGGGAGCTTGTGCCCACATGTGTCCACCTCACTGGCCTGCCAGACCAGCGATTGCTCTGCACTCCTGCCCAGGAGCCCTCTGAGGAATTGAGCAGTAACGTTCTTGGAGTCATTAGCTAAGAAAATTGCTCTTGATTCTATAACCAATGAAGAACAGCAGCTGCCACCTAGTGTCTGAACAGTGTTACAGCTCCACCTTGAGTGGTAGGAACCAGGATGGTTGGCTAGGAATAATCTTTAGTTGCCCAAAGGGTTGGGCACCAGAGGAGCGGAAGGACTATGGTAGATGGATTCCTCCCGTCCTGATTCAGAAAGTCATCCAATGTGGCTACTCAAGAGAAACGCAATGGGTTTTTTGTTTGTTTGTTTGTTTGGTTGGTTTTTGAAGATAGGGTTTCTATGTATAACAGCCTTGGCTGTCCTGGAACTCACTTTGTAGACCAGGTTGGTCTCGAACTCACAGAGACCCTCCTGCCACTACCTCCCAAGTGTTGGGATTAAAGGCATGCGCAAGACACGCAATGTTTTAAATGCTGTCAGTTCTATTGTTTTTAAACACCGAAGGGCTGGATGTAGCTCCATGGTAGAGCACTTGCCTAGCATATGCAAGGCTCTGGGTTCCATCCACCACACTGGAAAACAAACAAATACATCAAAACATCTCCAGCAGCCTCTGCTCTTACCTGAAATCCCTTTAAGGCCATGGAAGTTTCTCACTTGCCTCTGGCTTCCCCTAAGGTCCACTCTGCCAGCCTAGGGCTCTGGCCACCCCAGCAACTTCATGTGAGAACTACACTTTGCTGCCTCTTGTACTGTGTAACTTACCCTGGCTGCTGTGACCGCCTAGCACACGCACTGTCCTTGTCTGTGGTGTTTCAGAGTTCCCATGCCTGAGCTCTTCTGACAGCCCCTTTCTGCTCTGCCTCATCAGGCAGCCACTAACTGAGTTCAGCCAATCCTCTCATCGCCCCAGCCCACCCCAAGTGCCCACAGCTCACCAGGATCTCAGGTCTGGAGGCCTTACCACCTGTTCCCAGCTCTGCCCTCACTGGCTTCACTCCCTGGTCCCATATTTATGCCCTTCCCTGCAGCCCCTACTGGAGTGGTGCTTAACTGTCCCCTGCCTTAAGACTGCATCCAGCTGGCCTCCTAGGTGCAATGATACTCATGCCAGTAACCTCAAGTGGAAACTGGAGCTTCTCAGATGCCTTAGCTATGCCCTTGGCCAGCCTTGCTCGACTCTGAGCTCACTCACTTGTCCTTCTCCAAGCCCAGCCCCGACCCACGCCCGCTCCGCTCAGATGCTGTCTCCTCCATCTCCAAGGAGAGGCTCCCTGCTCTGTTCTAGTCTCCAGAGCATCCAGATCCACCCACCATCTGCCACAGGCTGGGTCAGAGCTGGCTGAGCACTTCATGCCCTGGAGCCTATCCTCAGCAGCAGAAAGAAAGCAAACAAACTCCGGAAGCCGGGACGCTCTTCCATCTTTCTTTTATTTTGTGTAAAAGCCCAACCGCCCCCGGCCTAGAAGGCACCAAACAGCCTGAGTCACCTCTGGGTCCCTCTGTCCCAACCCCACAGGCCCCTTGGCTCCTGGACCCCATGCTCTGGCCACTCCCTTGAGGACTTGCTGCTCGGCTTTTCTGTCACCCCCTCTAGCCATTCTCAAGGTCTTCTAGAGGACACTCTCGGCCACTGTTTAAAACCCTGGTGGTGACACCAGGCCAGTGCGGGTAATGCATACTTAAGGCCACCAAGGTGAACACCCAAGACAGTTAAAGGGGCAGCAAACAAAGGCATTGCCTGCCGAATGCCTAACTCATCACACTTAAGCTGGTACCAGGAAAAGGAGCTGGGACCACAGACAGGTAGGAGCAGGATCAGCACCAAACCAGGGTGGCCTCTGCCTCCTCCCCCCATTGGCAGCTCAAATGCCATGAAAGATTTGAATGTAGACCCCGAACACAAATTATGCACTGAACACTGACACTGAGACTTCTTCTGCTGGCCTGCAGGCCCTCTGGGGCAGCCTGTCGGGGACGCGTACAGACATGGGGAGATGTGTGTGGCATGCACCCCCATCAGCTACCATGGTGTTTGGAGTCATTCACAGTGGGAAGGAGGCAGATACGCGGGTGTTCAATGCAGAGTTCCAAAGGTTTCCAAGAAGCCCGACTTGTGTTCATTTCTAGTGTCTTTGCTTAGACAGAGGTAACAGAGTCCAGCCCAGGAATCCATCCACTCTTCTATCTCACCAGATGTGCATTCTCCAAATGTGCCTACAGAGGGCGCCACCACTGCAGTCCGCAGCACATGGGTGCAGTGGGGCAGCCAGATGCTCAGGGCTAGTCATCCGCAGACACAGGCCAGCACCTCAGTGGCTCCAGAAGGAAGGGGGGATCTGGAATATGCTTGAGCGCATCACTGGACACCCCTCCTCCCTCTGGCTACCTGGTCCTGGAGGACACCTATGCTACAGCTCCCCTCACCTTCCCTGACCACCATTTCCCCAAACCAGGCGTCCTCAATGACACTTCCTGATCCTGGCCTTAGCCATGCCACCTGTGAACTAAGGGGGGCATAAAATCTTGCCCTCCTACCCATGGCCTGAGGTTGAGAACAGGATGCGTTCCCATGATGCAGGTCAGTAACCATCTGCTAACCCGGTTCACTGGCACCCTGGCATCTCTGGGCCTTGGTGGCACTACCTTCCCGGGAGCAGTTTTGAAGCTGTACTGACAGTCTCCTTGGGACTGGCAGATCAAGCTATCTCTAAGGGAGGAGGGTGCTAAACCACAGGGTTTCTCTGTGGGCCCCTGGAGCAAACACAGCTGAAACTTACTGCGGCTTGGCAACAGATTCCCAGGCAGAGATGGGGCCCCTCACCCCAAATCCAGTATGGAGAGCAGGAAAGTGGGTGTGTTGGCGGTAGGTCACCGGGAGCACGAGGGAGCAGGGTTTACGAGCGTACCCACCACCGGGACAGATGACTTGGGTTTTGTGGTAGTACCCTCAGAAGCCTCCCTCCTTTCACAACTGTATCCCAGCTGCTGTGAAGGCCACAACAGGAATTCTGTAGGCCAGGAGTCTGAGACTAACCTGAACAACACAGCAAGAACCTCTTAAAGCAAGCAGCTCCCTTCCTAGAGTCTTGGGACTGGGTCTGTGGCTCAGCCTGGAGGACTGGAATCTCACAGTCCCTCTTTCATGTCTCCCAAGTCACCAGTGAGCTCTGGGCGTTATGCCATGACAACCCCGACAGCCAGGTAAGTGCCCTGAAGCAGGACCAAAAGCAAGCATGTCTGTTCATCCGGGCAGAAGAGGCTGAGATTGCCCAATGGGGTGGTAACATCCAGACCAGAATGGCGTTGTTTCATCTTTGCTCCCACACAGGTGACCGCATCCGTAAGCTTGCTCCTGCCTCACCTCCCCTTGCAAAAGCCCTGTCTACCTCAAGGGCAATCACACCAGTGTCTTTGGATTGGACTTTTCATGGCCAGCCTGGATGCCTTGAGCTGCTATCTAGCTCCGTAGCCTTTCAGTCCTCTTGGCCTCTGTAGAGAGAGAATACTTCTAGCTCAGGTACTTTTGTGATTTTACCACAACTTGGTTCCCGGGCTTTGGGCTCAGGCTGATTTGTTGAGACAAGCCTACTGACAACCCCTATCAGTGCCAGCGGGCGGGGGACATCGACTTCCAGGCAGTGGGCTCTGGCCTGAGGTTCCCGGCAGCACCTGCCCTCCTGAGGACCCATCAGATCCTCACAGCGCACCACAACAGGCTCCGACCTACAGCTTGGTGTTGAGGTGGAAGAAGTGAGGTGCCGCATAGGTTGTGACAGGTGGCATGTGCCAGGCAGATGAAGCTGGGCCCAGTCTGTTGCGGAGGACGGTATCATAGGACGTGGGGGGGAAATGCATCAGGCTGGTAGCCATAGGTGAGGGGCCTGTCGTAGCCAGGAGATGGGCTGGGAAAGCCGGGATGACCAGGGGACTGAAGGGTAGTGTGGCCTGGCCCTTCAGAGGGTCTGGGCTACTGGCAAAGTTCAGAGGATACTGCAGCATGGTGCCCCTGTAGGCCTCTGGAGGAGTGGGCCCCAGGGCTGGGCCCAGTAGGCAGGATACCGCCATGCCAGGTGCTGTAGGCTTGCCCCCACACTCCTTGGCATCCACCTCCTTCAGAAAGGGAGACACCGCCTTCAGTTTCTTGCCACCATGAGCAAAGCCCTCTTCTTCCAAGTTGCGCTTGTTGCCAAGGCCTGGGCTACTGGGGAGGAGAGGTAGGGCTCCAGGGCTCTCCGCAGGAACCTTGGCCATGGGGGACACCCAACAGGCTTTGGGCTTGGGGTAGAAGCTTCTTTTTCTGGAGCTGCCTTTATGGAATGCAGAGGGGCGGTTGGCATCCCCACCCCACACCAGCTGGGGCTCTTTGGTTGACAGCCCTTCCTCTTTAGCAGGCCGTTCCAACAGCACCCTGTCTTTAAGGCCAGAGAAGAAGTCCCTGGGGTGCTGGCTGACAGGCTTCAGCACTTCAGTTGGGTAGGCATGAAAACAGCCTGAGAAAGTCGGGGCTGTGGGGCGGGGCCCCTCCTGCACCTCCACCTTGGTGCTGCCACTGGGGGGCAGCAATTCTTCCTGAGGGGTTTGCTGGTGTTCAGAGTTCTCAGCTGGCCCTCTTAGGTTCTGGGGACTTTCTTGAAGGTCTCTGCTGGGGCTCCTTGCTCCATGACGACAGCCCTCTTCTTGGCACTGCAAGGCTTCTGCCTTGCTGACCTGGGCCAAGAGTTTCTTTTTGGCCAGTGGTGACATGATACCATGTGCCCCTTTGCTGTAAAAGTTGGACAAGAGCCGCTTGTAGGCCTCTGGACAGCCGCTAGCACCCATGAATGGCAAAGAGGGCCCAGATGTTGGGCCCAGCTGTTCTGTGCTATCCCTTGAGGGTCCCTGGCTAGGAGGCTGCGTCAGACCAGTGGCATCTGATTTAGTCTTTCCCGGTGTGGTCTGGAATAAGAAAAGGCTTTGGCTTAGAGTCGGGTGCAGAATTGTGCTTCTAACCTGGAGATCTGGAGGTAGCAGGCCTCAGAGGGGCCACAACTTAGCCCTCAGCAACACCTTGGGTCAAAAGTTTTCCAAGGTGCCCCGTCCCAAGCAGATACAGCCTAGTATCCCAGCAATCCCAGCATAGCAGGTGTCAACTGGTCTTCAGGGAACCCAAAGTTCAGCCAGCTCCTGCCCTGAAGCAGGTTCCTGGCATTCCAAGTGGGAGTCAGCAGCCACAGCCAGAGTAGGCATGGAGCTGTGGAAACAACCTCACCATGCTCGACGCTTACCTGGTCCACCTGCCTCTCTGAGTCCTTGGCCTTCTTTGGCTTCTCTATGGTCCCATCGTCCCCCCTCAGCTCCTTGGCCATCTTGTACTGCTTCCTGGGCTTGGTCGGGGGCAGTGGTTTGTCATCTTCCCCTTTCAGGTGCCGCACATATGGGAGGACCAGCCTGGGGAAGAGCCAGTGTGTCAACCAGGAGCCCGGCAGTTGCTCTTCGCAGCCAGCGGGACTTCCTTAAGGCCCTCTGACTCCTCCCCACCAGAGCTCCTGCTGTCTCCAAAGCTGCCCGCTCCTCCCCGCTGGTGCACGCTACAGCTCTTCCAGGTCTCGCTGCAGATGCCGACCCTGACAAGGTCTTGCTTGTGGCACATATGTACTGCCCGCCCCCAGAACAGCAGCGTATGTGTCTATATACCGTCTTTGCACCTCACTCCCAGTGCGCACCTGCTAAGACCCCGGAAAGGGGAAGGCCTAGGTGTGCAGCACCCCCTGGGCACCCCGTACCTCTCGTAGTGGCGGCGCGTGCATGTGGCCGCGCTGGTGCTGCCTGGACTGCCCCCCAGCTCATCATACACGTTCTTCCAGAGTCGGCGGCCTGTCACCTGCAAGACACCAGAGAAGATGGGCCAACGGGACCCTCTCTGCTCCAGGTTCCCTGTGCAGGGAGGAGGCGAGAGCCACGAGCAGGATGCTGGAGAAGGTTGCTGGTGCTCATCCGCTCTCCCTCCTCTCTGACTGCTAGGCAAAGAGGGTTTTGGAGTAGGGGAAGGTGGGCCAGATGGGGGTGGGAAGAAACCTGCTTTGAGATGCAAAACACCAGTCCCTCCTCCCACAGCACTCTGGGCTGGACCTGGGAATTCTGATCTTCCTCACATCTACAGGCCAGGAAGCCCTGCTGACCACCCTGCTCCCCCAGCTTTTGCTATGGCTGAGAACCTTTTCCTTACCAGCTCGTAGGCCCCCAGCTTCTCCACTGCCTTGTAGATCTTCCACAGGTTAACTGAAGGGAAGAGGCAAGACAGGCTGTCAGCCGCGGCAACCCACACACTCCCAGACGATGAAAGACCACTGTGATGGATGGGGCAGGCTGGCCTGGCCGTCAAGAGGAGAGGATGGGCACCCAGCTCCACCCCTTGGCCTTCAGGGAGGCATCCTTCTCATAGGCAACCCCTGGAGGCTGGAGTCTTCCAGGATCACCTGGAGCTGAGGTGCCTTGCCTGTTGTCTCTGGGAAGATCCCCTGGCTGCCCCCTTAAATCTACCTCCCCTTGGAACGTACTCTGCTTGAAGCCAAGATGGGGGACCCTCTCGATGGGCGTGTGTCGCTCCTTCATGAACTTGTAGAGGCTGACCAGAAAGGCCTGTTCTTCCTCCCGCTCCTCGCCGGTCTCAGAAGAGTCCTGGGGAGAGAGTAGGAGGTATGGATGGACTCCACTGATGGACAGCTGGACACTGGGAACCACGGCCATCTGAAGGTCCCAACCATAGGCTACCTGAGAGCACCCAGCCTCCTGTCCTGGGTACAATTGTGAGCTTAGTGCCTAGGCTCAGATCAAGGGTTTCCCTGTGTAGCCCTGGCTGTCCCGGAACTCGCTTTGTAGACCAGGCTGGCCTCGAACTCACAGAGATCCACCTGCCTCTGCCTCCCAAGTCCAAGGATTAAAGGTGTGCGCCAGCACTGCCTGGTTTGGGAATCTTTTTTTGAACATCGCAGACTTGTGTTTGTCTGCTTTCTGATCAGAGTCCGGGTTGTTTGATCTGCAGAATCCTGGGAGAGGTTCTGCCTTGCCTAGCACCCAGATCCTGCATCTTCCAACGTGGGGCCCCTCAACTCTGCAACATGGGGCAGAGGCCTCTCTCCCTCTCCGAGCTCAGGGTGTCTCAGGTACCCTTGAGGCTGAGCCCAGCAAGGAAGAGGTCTAGGGTTTGTCCAACTCACCTCCAGCTGGATGGGGCTCTGGCTGCTGCTCTGCTCCTCATCAGGCTTGGGGGACACAGGGAGCTCCAGGGGGTCGCCCTCTTCTGACTGCTCCTTCGTCCCCTTGGCAGGAGGTGCTGCTGGGAGAGAGGAACGGATGAGGAGAGAGCAGGTGAGATGCAGGTAGGAGGAACATGGGCTGAGGGTTGGTCCCCCTCCCTCAGCCATGGAAGGGGTGGGTGCTCATAGTCCTTTTAGAGTGCCCTTTACTGGCCAGTATCGGCTATGACATTTGAGCTGTTCTCTGTCTCTCTCTCTCTCTCTCTCTCTCTCTCTCTCACACACACACACACACACACACACACTCACCCTGGCTTGGCAGCCACCCCCTTTCCTTTCCTCTGTTCTAGCCATGCCCCCACATCTCTGCAGGAAACCCTCAGCCTCAAGTCAGAAGAATGCGGGTAGGTATGTTTTGAGGACATTCTCTCTCTCTCAATCCTGCCCATCTCCAGGCAGAACTCATTACAGTAGCTCAGTTGAATGCTATCAGGACTTCATCCATGAGTCCCTGCACGGCCAGTTGCCCCTGTGTAGGCCCTTAGGCTCCAAGCTGCCCTCACTTGCAAGGCTGGTGATGACTGTTCACATCAGCTATGATCCCTTCCTCTGCTTGGCCTTTCCCAGGCCTGGCTAACTGCAGCACTCAAATCCTTCCCTTTCTTGTCCAGTATGACTGATCTGTGACTGCCCACACCCTGTGAGTCCTCTGGCCCCATTCGAGACATGAGCCAGGTAAGGGCAGAGACTCAAGACTGTGACGGTGGCCTGAGAGAAGCCATCTGCACGTCTGTTTAGTGCAGCCCTGGTCTGGTCACAGATTGGTCACTGCAGAAATATCAACTCAGATTGCCTCAGGTGAAGAGCTGGGCTGGCATCAGATCTGGAGCCAAATCTTTTTAATTAATTGAGACAATGTCTCACAGTGTAGCCTGGCTGTCTAAAAACACGCAGGAATCCCCCTGCCTCTGCCTTCTGAAGGACAGGGTTACAGGCATGTGCTACCACGTTCAACTAAAAGGGAACTTGTTTTGCTCCCACTTTATGAGACAGAGTCTTATGTAGCCTGAACTGCAGTTTCCTAGATAGCCAAGAATGATCTTGAACTCCTGGTCCTTCTGCCTCCATCTCTCCGATGCTGTAATTAAAGGCATGCGCCAGCACACCTGGCCTAGAAGCTCACATCTGCTAATCTGTCCTTTTGTTGTTTCGGGGATGGAGCCTAGGGCTTGTACATTCTACACAGGCACGTTTTTAAATCATTTTTGGGGTGGGGTTGACATACAAAGAAACAGATTTACTGTGGCATTTCGCACGTTTCATTATGCTTTCAAGCACAAGGGGTTTTGAAATAGCCTCGCGGTGTAGCCCAGACAAGCTCTGAGCTCCCATCTCTATCTATAAAGTGATCACGGGCGCGATCTGGCAACTTTCCCTTTTCTTTTCACCAACTTGCTACAATGGGACCAACTCTTGGTTTGCTCCAGCTCTGAGACCCCTTATTGCTGGAGGCTGAGATTTTCCTATCAACACAGGCAGAAAAGAATCTCCTTGCGGACACTGTCCCACAGCCACATGACCCAGAGGAGCTGTGTTAGGATGCTCAGGTCCCGAAAGGCCCTCCCATTGCCAGTTGTTCACACAGTACAGACATCCATGCCTGTGTCTGCTCACATTGTACGGGTCCCTGCCTCTGGGTACCTGGCTTTGCCTGTATGTTTCCTCATTTAGTCGCGGCAGGGATCCCATTTTAAAGAGGGGGTAGCTGAAGTCAGAGAGGTCACGAGGCTCAGCATTTCAGCTTGGGCACCAGAACTCAAGACAAAGTCTGTCTCACCATTGGGTTCGATGGCTTGCTGTGATTATCATCACCATTGGCAAAGTCCGCATGGAGTGCCCAAATAAGCTCACAGAGACGCTCATCCTAACTCTTGCCAGAGTCCAAAGAAACTTGGGTGTTGTCTTAGACAGCAACTGACATCAGATTCAAGGTCAGTCTCCAGAAATCTCAGGAACTGACAACTGCCCTCCCCCCTTTTCTACCACATTCCCTGAAACTCCATGCCTCAGGCTTTGCTTTTGTGACTCGGGGGTCCTCTGCCACCTCTGGGTGAATCCCAAATCTAGGAACCAGAAGCTTATCTTGCTCCAGTCCTCCTCCAGCCTGAGGCCTCTGCACGCTCCTATCTCCCTTCCAGTTGCTCCTCAGATTCTGGCAGCAGCAGCAGGGACTCTCCATCTATCACTTAGTGTGACCTGGGCTTCTAGCTTCTAAAGAGTTAGCGTGACGCAGTCCCTAGATCTCAAAAAAAATAACGCGTTGGACTGTGACAACCCCCACCCCTGGGGAGCACTTCAAAGACGCATGCGTATGAGCATCTGAATAGAAAGCTCACAGGGATCCTGGGGGGAGGCGGGTTGCGGGTGAACAGCCACCAGGCAGGTGATCTCTGGTCCTGATTCTGTGTTCAGTTCCGGGATCTAGATGCTCACTCAGGGAAGATCTCCTGGAGCAGGGCACTCAGGTTAACTGGAAAGGAAGGTGCCAGTCCAAGCTGTTTGGCCCCAAATGGACGAGGGATGAGGGCTCCCACCTTGAGCCACAAAAGGAAAGAAATACTTTATCACCATGTCCTGGGTCCCCAAATGAACTTGGTGTCCATTCTCTCGTGGCCGGGACTACCATTCTTTGTCCCTGGCAGGACCTTCTGGGCCCTGACCTCTGCGGCTTTAGATGAGGGGGTAGGGTTGCCTTGTCTTATCCCTAGCAGTCCTAACTCCTCATTCCCCCAATCATTTATAGGTACAGGGTCCAGGTAACACATCTGTAGGAAAGGTTCTTCTGTGAAACCCTCAGCCACAGTAGTAGACAATGCCCCGGCCTGCCTGGCTCCTGAACCTTCTAATATGAGGCCCAAACATGGAGTAGCAGGCTGGGTCCCACCTCTCACTCTACAGGGGGTGGGAAGGGACTGGTGGCCGAGCATCACCTTGCCTGTAAGACAGGAGAAACCCACTTCTCCCTGTTTGCTGCCACCACAACCCAAGTCTTCTTCGTCCACCTCAGAGCTCGTGTGTGAGATCCCTTCCTGGCCAGTGCCTCGATGTCCTCCTCCTCGTGAGTAGAGAAGAAGATCAATATTTTAAAAGTACAGTCTGCTTTCCACCACATCACTCAGGCAGGATTCTTTCCATCCCTGAGACGAGAATGGTAACGGGGATGGATGGGTCCTTGTAGCGCGTCTAAACTCTCTTCTGGTGTGGAGTGTGGGGTGTGGGGTTTGAGGGCGGGGTCTACCAATGTCTTCCTCCGCTGGCCAGGTGTTTGCCAGTGCTGGTGGAGCGACCACTCTGCAGTAAACGAAATGCTACTTTCCCCACAACCTCCCACTTGACAGACGCATATCCGGGGTCATGGGGTCATCCCTGGACTTCCTATTCCGCTCCTCTCTCGGTGGAGTGCTGGCATCCATGGGTGGTTTCAATTTGGGGGTCTTATGACAGAGTTCACTACATGGAGGTCCAGCCCCCCTCCAACCTTCCTCTTTGAAGAACACTCCATCTGAGACTTAGGATGATGTAGGCGCAGTCTCTAAAGCAGTGATTCTCAACCTAGGATCGCGACCCCGTTGGGGGTCAAATGACCCTTTCACAGGGGTCGCATATCAGATATCCTGCATATCAGGAATTTACATCACTGTTTACAGCAGTAGCAAAATTAGTTAAGAAGTAGCAAAGAAAATAATCTTATGGTTGGAATGGCAGGCAAGGCTTCACCCCACAGCACCTTGGGGTGCCTTACTCCACTGTCCACACAAGGACCTGGGGCAGCTAAGCCATCAGAGGGTGACAGGCAGGTGGCGAAGGGTGCAGCAGGAGGGCTGCCCCAGTCCTTCCTGGGCTTGACTGACTTCTGGTCAATTCCAAAGACGACTGAAGCAGCTGGGCCCCTAGACTCTAAGCTACAGGCCCAGCTTCAGCCTCTCTTTCCAATCAGAGCAAGCTTGCCAAAGTCGGTGTGTTTTCAAGCCACTTTCTGCTCTAGCAGTGGCTCCACCAAAGCTAATCTCTTCTGGGCTGTCTGGGGCTGGGTACCCAATACAAGCCTGACTGAATCTTCCTCCTTTGAATGGACATCACGCCTGAGGCTCAGTGGGATTGGACAACAAAGCCTCGGGGTCACACACCTTTCCAATGGCAAAGCTGAGATTCCAAACTACAGAAGTCAGATTGCTCCAAGACTCTGAACCCTAAACTCCAGAGCTTTGTAAATAGGCAGAGACCTTCAGCTTTCTCATCTAAACTCAGAGGGCAGAGATTTACCCACACTGCCTGAGTGGCTCTCTGCAGCCCCACTTCACTGATAGGCACAGGTCAGCATGGACAACTGAGCCAACCACGCCCAGAATAGGAAGTGGCAGAAGTTCCACGTGAATCAATGTGCCTAGCCTTGGAGTCTCCCAGGCCCCCATCATTGCAATCCAGGGTACCACTTTATAACCTTTAAGGAAGGAAAACCACTGGACACAACCAAGGGTCCCTGAAGAAGTGGGAACTGCTGTCTCAGTAGACAAAGGGTCTGTGTAAAAGAGGGGAAGATAGAAGTGGTGAGGGGCACCCTGTAGAGGAATCAGTGAGGAGGCAACGGGATAGGCTAAGAGATAAGGAGAGGCCCCTCCCTGTAAGCCTGCCCCTTGCCCTGCCAGCCAGTGAGCTGCAATCAGCTGAAACTGTACAGGATGGAGGAGGGGGGACTGTAGTGCCCCAGGGATGCCTCTTGACTTGTTTATTTGTTTGCCTTGGGCAAGGTCTCTCTATGTAACCCAGACTGGTCTCGAACCTACAGTTTTCTGGATTAGCTTTCCCAGTGTTCCCAGGCTTGCACCACCATGCCACGCTGGGCACGTCTTTTGTCACCTTCATCACTGCTTAGGTAGCTCCCTCGTCTCTTTAATGCTAGGCTCAATGGCCAATGTTCTAAACTGAAGAAAGAATGCACGCAGGCTTCCCCTACAAATCATAGCTGCAAGTGTGCACATATCCTTGGTGATACCTGCCTGTCCCCCCGCATCTGATTCTCCCTAGGGTGCTCCCGAAAATCTGACCTAAGTCTGTGGGATGATGAGTCTACTTGCTCTAAGAGAGAGTGTTCAAGGCCACACACCTCCCTGGAGCTGAGAAGCTTGCTAGGCGTGAGTACCACTTTCCTTCTCTCTTTCATTTGCCTACCCCAGCCACCGTCCCTGTGATGGGAAGGAAGTGACACTTCCTTTCATGAAAACTCACTGACTGGGAAGACGACGTCAGTCACAACAATAATGGCAACAGCAACCTCAATAACAACCAGCAGGGACAGCCCCACCCCCTTGCCTGAGGTTGTTGGCTTGGCTTAAGTTTCCCTTAGCTCGAGCTGGAGAGGAAACAAAGACAGCCTTTGAAGCGGTCAGTCCACTCCGTGGCCCAGAAGCCGGCTGCCTGGCATTCTCCTCCTTGGGCTTGCTCCAGTGGGCAGTTTGGGGAGGGGGAGTCCTATCAAGAGCCAGCCTTGAGGACGGCTGGACAAGAGTCTGAGGACCCAGAACCATCCACAGCCTAGCCTCGGCACCTCTGCCAAGGCAGGGAGAAATAAGTCCTGTCAGTGGCTAGAGACAAGCTGGGAGCCCTCAGGGGTACATGAAGGCAGAGAGAGGCTTACGGGCACCAAGTATAAGATTCCAGACGCCCAGTGCTACCCAGCTCTGGAACAGCCTAAGCAATTCTACTCCTGGAAGGACTGAGTCGCACCGCCCCGCCCCTCTGCCCCTAGGTGAAAACAGAGTCCTATATATGGATCATTTCCGGTTTTCCCACCCCACCTGTGCAGAAACAAGGCTCAGAGGGGTGAGTCAACAGCAGAGGGAGAACCCCTACACAGGGTACTTCCCTACCTCACCACTCTTCTCCTCCTCCTCTCCGCACCCCAGCCCAGTGCCTGCTACCCTGCTCCGCGAGGGAATGCAGACCATTGCGGATCAGCTTCCCACTGAGGGCAACAGAAAGAAGGCCGCTGGGAAAGGGGTGAAGGGCAAGGAGTACTGGAAGTCAAGGAAGTCTCACTCACTATTAGACCTGAGCCTGCCTCTGTGCCTCAGTTTCTCTGACTGTAATAAAAGATGAGTGACGGGGGAGCGGGCTGACTAAGACCCATTCTGCCTCTGTCACTTCAGGTTCTAGGCCGAGCAGTCAGTTTGGACGCTGGAACTGCTGTGGACCCTTTAGCTAACATCTCCAGTCCTCCCCTACCCTGGCATCCTGTTTAGGCCCCGAGTCCCTTAGATGTACATCAATTTCCAACAGTGTCCACAGGGCAGGGCAAGGAGCACCTGTCACCTCCTTTGGCCACTGTGACCCCTCCTCTGAAGCAGAAGACTCTACGAACAGGGGATCCAAGCCATAGCAGCACAACTTGGGATGAATTTGAGGCCTTCTGGGCCCAGGGTTGGCAACCCCACTGTGCCTGTGGGCCAGGGTGTAGAGTGTGACCCCAGCCAGGGCATGGCGCCTGGGCAGTGTGGAGGGTTGAGGATGAGGTGGCGTGGTTGTGCCCCCAGTTCGAGCTTGAGAGCAAAGCCAAACTTGTACGTTGCACTCTGGCAGGCTGCCTTTCTGCCCTCTCTCCACTAACCACCCCCCGTCCAGGGCCACCACCCTGTCCCTCTGGAAGGATTCGAGGGAAGAGAGGAAAAGTCAGAAGACTAGGCAAGTAAAAAGAAGCCATCTTTCCTGCCAGGGGCTGGGAAGGCAAAGAGAGAAACAAAAAGAAAAGGAAGAGAAGAGAGAAGAGAAGGAGCAGGGGACTTGAAGCCTGTGACCGTCAAACCATCAGCATGTCCCTCGGCAGAAAGAGGAACCGTTGATTCTTCAAAGCGCATTGAGCAAGTTCTTCAAAACCCGCGCAGTCACTTTCAGGAATCGCGGCAGCAGTGGGAAGCGCGGTGCGCGGCCCGGGCGCCTCGGGTTCTGAGAAGCGCTGGGCTGGCACGGGGCAGGGAGGGGCCCGCGGCCGAGAAGCTGCTGCTGACAGCTGTCACAACAAATGGGCCGAGAGCAGCTTGAGATTGAAACCGCAGCAGGAAGTGTGGGCGGCTCAGTGAATTTCAGTCCGGAGCCAGAGAGGAGAGTTTCGAGATAAACGCCTGGGAAGCCCCTGGCCGCCCCGACTTTCCACGAGAAGACAGCACACCGACACCCCGGTGCCCCTCGGGTCGCCCCTCGGGTCGCGATCGCTCCAGGTCCCCAGCCCTCCGACCCCAGCGCCGCCCGCGAGCCGCTTACCCATGGCCCAGAGAGATCGCGCGTAGCCAACCGGAGACCCTCGACGAACGGAGCTGTCCGGTCCCAGCGCTCTCGGCGCGACTGACTCGCGCTGCCGCTCGACTGCCGCCTCCCCGCGGGCCCGCCCCCGGGCCCGCCCCTCCGCGCTCTGGGCTCCTATTGGTGAATCCTATCTTCTAGGGCGGGTGGGGTCCGCCCCTTGAGCCCGAGGAAGTCTGGAAGTTGTAGTGTGCGCCCACTTATCAGCAAGGGGCTCATGCTGGACACTCAAGAGTCATGGCCGCCCTGGGTCTTCTTGTTTCCCTAGAGGCAAAACCAGAGTCTAAGAAAACTGCCCGCTCTCTGCAGCGTGCCAAAGACTGGGTGGGATTAAGTGCTTCTGAATTGACCCGAAGTGGTCCAATTGCATCCTATTCAACATCACATAGAGAGGCGATCACTGTCAGCCTAGCAAGGACCTACCAAGGGCCAATCTAGAAAGTCCTCCGTAGCTCATGCCTAATGTCCTAGACCTGCCCATAGTGCCCATGTCCGCATATGTCATGTAGACTAGTGACAGCCACAAGCTGAACCGTGCAAAGAGGAAGTGAGGGAAAAGAGGGTGAGGTTTATCCTGAGTGGGGACAAGAGGAGGAAGAGCAGTCCATTGGACCTGTGTGGGTTATAGAAGATGAAGCTAAGCCTTGAGATTTAAAAGAAGAAACCCTCAGCAGCTGAAGGGCTTGGACTTGAACTTCATTTCTAGTATGTAGTTAATATCCTCGGAATCAAATTGTGTCCATTAATTATAATATTCATACAACTCTGTGCATTTCACCCCATCATTGTCCTTATTTTATAGAGCAAAACAAGCCTGGGTGATTAATTAGCTCATATAGCTAGAGCTATATGGTCAGAGCTCAACCTAGAGCTCAACCGGGAAATAGGGGCACAGGTTAGGAGGACTCCATAGGCATACTCCCAACTTACCGCTGCTCCCATTCACAGTGGACAAAGGGACTGGGCAGCAGTTGGCGACGCTGACCCTCAGGCCCTTATCCAGGGGTCTGGCATGACAGATCTGCAAGCTCATCACACCGGGCTTGGTGGGATAATTGAACAGCCTGCGCTCACAGATCTGGTAACAGACACGTTGTCAATATTTATTAACTGCTCAGAATAATCACCAGAATAATGATTGCAACAGTACTCCCACGTCCAAGATTACAAGCCACGCTCCACCCCAAGAGATCTGAGACTGGCCAAGATGCTATCTACCAAAAGATACCACCCAGAAACTTCTTTAGGTTCCACTTGTACCCATTTGGTAAGGATTGACTGGACCAGCCACAATGCCAGGCTAGGTACGACGATCTGGATACTACCTTCAGTGCCACAGTATAGGCCATCTGCTACCTCCTGGATTGGATACTTGCATCAGTGAGGCAGGCACTGCTGGACTAAACCACAGCTAACCCTACCTCTGGAGAGAAGGACCCTACCATCCAGGCAGGAGAGCATACTCTTAGACAGGGCTGTTTGTGCGAAGGCTCAGCAAGTCAGCACCTGTCTGGGGCAACCTGAGAACAATGTGCTCTAAATTTAATTGTCTCCCCGAGGCAGCTGTTTGCAACAGAAAGTGATCTACAACAGCTAATAAACCCTACTGAGGAGTGACACCTCCATTTGCTTCCCTAAAAACACAAACACTCCGGTTGTTCAAGCTTCATTTTACACATCTCTCCCGCAGCACCCAGCTGCCTTCCTCCATCACCCACCATCTGCAGAGAACCAGCTCAGGATAGCCTGAGCGGCCACTAGCCTCTCCGTGTCTGGGTTGTTTCTCTGCCAGCCTCCAGAAGAGAAACAAAACACCACTCATGTGTAAACACACTCTTCCCAGGAAAAGCATTGAGTTAAATAAATCAGCCCTCTCTGGCCATGCCCCAAATCCAGTTCCCTCCCTCTCCTTATCAGACTGGATAGTCTTTTAGAATGTTCCCTACTTCTTCTCATGAATATGTGTATCCATGGTCTGGTAAAAGATGTAACTTGGTTTAGTGTGTGCTTTAAGCTGATACAATTCTGATTTTGCCATAGAGAGATCTACATTTAAAATACAGGTCGTTTCTCTATTAGCATCTGTTACTGTCTATGTCTTATAGGTGATCTCTCCATAGTCTTCCCCCCACCCCTGAATCTTGCTGAGAGAATTCTAGATCTCTTAGACTCTTAGAGCACTTTTGGGAAGAGACTGGGCTAAGCCTACCTTCTAACACCTCACACTGGTCCATCCCTAACGACCTGACCTTGGGGGCGGTGCTCATCCTGGAACTTACTGGCCTAGAGAGGTTCAGCAAGTTGCTGGAAGTCACACAGGAAAGGCAGTGCCATGCTTCATCTGAGACCTTCAAAGTTGTTTGGTGTACTCAGAAAACAGGACAAGCAGTCTGTCTTCCCCGCTGTTACTGCTCTGTTCCCAGTCTTAGCAGTTGCAAAATGCCCCCTGGGGCCTTGTTTTCAAAGGGGAATGAAGTGGGGGAGTATTTTTAACTGTTGGCCCGGCTTTGCACCCCACTCCCCCACCCTGCTATGCTAGCTGTCCAGGAAAGGCTTGCTTCACAATGGCATTCGCAACTCATGGAAAACAGCAAATGCTTGAAATAGACCATACCCAAGCCCGGGAATGGAAAAAATGGGCTCATGGTTTCAAACGCGTCTTTTAGAAAGAGACAAGAATAGCTTTTGGCCTTTGGGGATGGGCTAGGGTTGAGAGGCTGGGAAGGTGGCAATGTTAGCATAGGGTTGGGTCCCAGATCACCAGGGGACAATTTCCTAGGAGAAGAGACGTGGTCACTGTCCCCAGGGGTGCTTAGAAGTAGGTGCTCCGTTCCCCCTCTGCACCAACCCACTGAATCTAGAACAACTTCCTGTGTTGGGTCAGGGCTGGCTTCTGGGTGGGGGGCTTCATGGCCCTGTCCCTACCCAACAGAAACCCAAGATGCTAAAGTGCCTGCACCTGAAAGGTGACAGTTGAATCCTCCTGGGGTAGGGAAGAATTTGGGGTTTTCATCTGCACTCATACACAGCCCAGATGTGCAACCTCATGCAAGTTGTTTGATCTCTCAGGTACACAGGTGCTTTATCAGGGAAGGTGGAGAGGATGCTGTGCTTATCCATCCATCCGACCAACCAACCAACCAACCAATCAACATGTGTCATGTTGTCCTTCTGTGTGCAGGCACCAAGTTAGACACAGGGGTAGCCGCTAACAGACAGCAAAGGGCCCATGCCCGGGGCCGGCAGGGGTGCTGGAGAATCAGCAGAGTGTTATCTACATCAGACCCCACCACACCCATGTCTTACCAGACATGTCACCTGATCCCCACAAACTAGGCACTGTATTTGTCCCCAGAATACTCTTGGGACATTGAGGACCAGAGAACAGGTGCTGTACAAGTTCATGGGCGCAGCCACAATCTGGAACGAGTAAGAAAAGGTTCGCTGTGTGCCAGAGTTCCTAGGAACAGGGCAACCAGACCTTGGTTCCTTGTGTCGCAGTTTGTCACAAAATGGTAAATCTAGACCAAGGAGTCAGTACAAAATGCACTGGAGAAAGATTTCCGTTAGGTCAGTGTAGCACTTTTAGTTAAGGTCTCAGAGGGTCCTTCAGTCCTGTTTGAATGTTCTTGACTGTTTCTCCCATTTGACAGATGGATAAATTGAGGCATGTCTCACTTAAGGGGCCTCTACTTCCCATATAACCCTGTCCAATGCTCAGCAGCATAAGCCTTGGAGAGCATGGGGGGAGGGGGGGTGCTCCCAGCGTCAAGAGAGAACTGCATTTCCCAGGATGCCTTGCTGGGGGGGGGCGTGTAGGGGCGGAGTCGCCGCTCACACTGTAATTTCTTGGCATTGGGAGGGGAAGGAGGGGAATTGCAGAGGGGGAGCAAAAGTAAAGAGAGAATCAAAGCCTCCAGCGTCACGTCTAGGAATAGCCTCGGAGCTGGGCCAAGTCATTATCGACGATGAGTAATCCGGTTAAGTCATTTCTCTAAACACCATTCCTTGTAAGAGAATTAAAATATCAGCTTACATCAGAGCGGGAGAGGCGGGCTCCGGGCCCGGGCTGCAGCGCCAGGAGCGGGAGCGCCTGGCGGACTCCGCGCTGGGCCAGCCCGGCCTGGGAGCGGAGTGGAGCCGCGTGCCTGGGCGCTGCCAGCCGAGCTTGGGCTCCGTCCGGGCGGGAACCAGCGAATGGGGGCGGGGAAGAGGGCAGCCAACCAGGTCTCAGTTTACCCTGCTGTTAAGGGCCTCAGGGAAAGTTTGACTGCCCTGCGAGGGGACGGAGGTGGTGAGACAGCGCTTCGCTGCTCCTGCCCGGGATTCTAGAGTTGATGTCTGGAGAGCTTCAGAGACAAGTTCTTTGAGAGGGGCTAGAGACCGAGAAGAGTCCTCAATACTCTGCCGAGGTCTCCCTCTAAACCTCCTGCCGTGTGCGTGTTTGCCTTGATTTCATATTTTCTCTCCCTGCTTTCTTTTTAGTTGCTTCTGTGTTAAGCAGTCTAGGGCCACAGCTAGGCTTCTGAGAGGTGAGAATGACTCCCTTGATGACCTGGGGAGTGCGGGTGATCCAGAAGCAGCAGCACCCCACCCCGTGGCCTCTAACCCCCAAGTGTGTCCCCAAAGCAAGGCACAGGTTTGGTGTCACCTCCCAATGGTCTTAACTCTAATTCTTGGTATTAAGGCCCCTGACACACCCAGACACTTCCTCCTGGCTTCTAGTTCCAGGCAATACCTGAGGCTAGTGAGCCTAGCCCAGCCCTAAATTCCTTGTAGTGGTTTGGTTTTGTCTTTTGAATGAATTAATCTTAACAAGGCAGGCTTTCGCTAAGTAGCCCAGGCTGACCTTGAACTGCAGACCTTGGTGCCTTAGCCTGAGTGCTGAGATTAGAAGCACACCAGTACACCTAGCTAGGCACCTTACCATATCATTTATTATTATTTATATTATTTTTTCGGTACTGAGGTCTCAAGGAGGCTATGCAGTCTACCATGGAACTACATATCCACCTGTGTTGGGTATTATAAAGACTCTTTGACTAGTCTGGGTTGTAA